ATACTGCAGGATCTTGAAGTTACATTTTCTGTTTAGTCAGGACTCAGTCTCCATCTCTGCCTGAGAGAGGAAGAGAAAATGAGAATTTGACACATTCTTCTTGCATTTGCTAGTATGTTACATTGCAGTGTAATAGCACGCTGAAGACTTCTTGTTTCTAATGCTTTTGTTTTCACTTTCCACCTCCTCAGTCTACTCCCCCTTTCTACAAAATAAAAGAAATGACTGTACCAACTGCAGTGTGGTCTGGTGGACAGGACTGGCTGGCAGACCCAAAGGATGTTGCTATGCTGCTCACTCAGATCACAAACTTGGTTTACCACAACAGCATTCCAGAATGGGAACATTTGGATTTCATCTGGGGCCTTGATGCACCTTACCGCATGTATAATGAAATAATTAACATGATTAGGAAGTATCTCTAAACTGGCATGGTATTTTAGAGTATTAGTTTACCAGGAATTTGTCTTTTTGGAACATACGCTTTTCTGGCAATATTGCTACATTGTTTATTTATGATGCACTTTTAAAATGCCAGCAATGACTACTGAATTGAATTCATATTCAGTTTGTTTTTCTCAGTATTATTTCTCTATCCTGCAGAAATTCTCATTGTATCCTGCTGATTTTGCACACAGTGGCACTCAAAAACCAGCAGTGTGACTTTGCACAAAAAATAGTGTGTCATGCATATAAACTTAGTGACATGTCTGAAAGACAAGTTAGTCCGTTCAGCACCTCAGGTGCTTGACAGTTAAAACAATAAGTATTTCAGTGTGCATAAACCACTGCCATTTCTCAGTACATTGCCACTTCTGAGTATGTTTCAGAAGTACTCCTTGTACTGCAGAAACCCATTTGGTGCTGGTACTTTAAAAAGCACTTAGTGATTTTTTTTTTTTTTTTTTTCTGCATTATTATTTTAGCCATCACATACAAGCTAGCTACATCAGATGACTTTCTCTTTCAGTATTACACAGAAGAACTGTCATGAAGCCAGAGAAGATGAAATCTCTTATTTTAGGACTGATTCATTGCTGTATTTTTCTTGATTGAATGGTTCCCCTGAAGCCTTTCATGTTTCATGTACCAGCTATGGATAAGGACTGTTATTTGCCCTTGCAGATTCCTGGAACAAGAGAAGCGGTTAAAAGAAATACCACTTTGTTAGCTTTATCAACAGGTTATGACTTCCAAGGAGAATTACATGTAACATACTCGTGTTTTGTTTTCTTTGCACTGACCACTAGAAAGCAAGCTCCCCCAGTATACTACTGATGAGGGAAGAGCCAAAGCATTAATTCTGTAGCTTGAGTGACTTAATTTGCTTGGACTTTTCCGTTTAATCATCTGCTGCTTTGAAGATCTGTTTACTTCTTAGCTGTTTATGTGGTGCTTGCCACCATTGTATTCAGGAACTATTCAACACCCTGGTGAAGCCTGGCAGTATTAAGGGCTGTTTCCATTTGTTGAAGTTTCCACTTCAAAATGGGGCTAAGCTCCCATTTAATGGGGGGAGAGGATTCACATCTGCTTCACAGGTCTGACTTTGGAGCTGTATTTGTCTGTAGTATAGGTGCCTTGCTCTTTGCATTGACTATGCAGAGGACTTTGGCTCCTCTGAATTGCACAAAAGTTCTAATTGTAGATGTATGAACAATCTCTGGAGTCAGTTGCCTCAGTCCAGATGATAAATTCTGTGCCAGGGTTGGGTTCAGTCCAGATTTCTGTTGGTAATCCCAACAGGATAAAAAGCCTTTTCTACATGGCATACAAAATAGTGCATTTTAAACTGAGGCAAACTTTTTTTTTTTTTTTTTTTTAAAAAAAAAAGCATAAGCCATAAATAAGGGGTTTTTTGTTTGGTTTGTTTTATTCCTAATTCAGACTCAGGGAATCCTCAGGCCTTGTTTAAGGAAAAAGTCATTCATGCTATTTCGGTTGCAGTTCTTAGCAGGACCTCTAAATTTGCTTTATATTTGTAGTAGCCATGTTTGCTTCACCTTGTTGTGCTGAAAGAAAGTTTCTGTGGGAATCCAAAGTGACTAACTTAGTGCTTGAGAGGGTATGTGATACAGCAAGAGCCATGTGCATCATGTTTATTAAGCCTGAGATATTTCAATAAACATGAGACCTGCTTGAAGTTTGGAGCAATGTGTTGCATTTCATTTCTTGTTTCATGAATGCATGTGACAGAATCCAGAAACTCGAGTCTGTTTTTCACTATTCATTTATTGAACAAGCACAATAAAAAAGTAAAATAGCCAAGTAAGCTTCCTTTTTATTTTGTCCTGAAAGAGGCTTTTCCTAAGCCTAAAAGGCCATTCATGTTTTGGGGGACTTCTCTGAGACTTTTAAGTAACCAGTTGTAAATAACTGCTTACAAGACAGAGTCATTTTCTAAGCTTCCCGGTGAAGCTCCTTTCAAACCACTGACATAGTGGAAAGCTTCTTAAACCCTGAGTAATTGGATTGCTTAGTGGACTGTCCAGTAATCTCATAAATAGTATCTAACAACATAGTAATGCAGGAAACTAATCTTTGCTGCAGTACATTTGACCCAGTTTTTGACCTTTGTCATATTCAATAATAAATGTACCTTTCTGTACATTCTGAATGCAGTAGATGTGCAGTCAAGATAGCAGGGTTTATTAAACTATGTGTTGCCAGTTTTGTTGTCTGATGAACCCTGTGTGTGCCTGGAAGTAAAGCTGGAATACTGGAAGCTTTACACAAAAGCCTTTATGGAGCTTCTCTGCTTTGCTGGAGTAGGGATGGTTATGGGAATTATGATCTGCTGTGCTCTCCCTGGCTTGCTAAAGTTACAAGCACTGTGTGATACAAACTTGGAAAGGTGTCAGTAGAAAGAAATGTGCAAAATAAGACACCCTGATCATCAAGGAGAAGAGTGAGAAGCTTGGTCTAATAAGAAGAGCTGTGATGAATGGTACATTTTTCAAAGCAGATCTTACGTATTCAGTGCCTTTTCTATAGACATCTTTATGTTATAGATGTATATAGATGATATTGAAGGTTGGCTGAATGTCAGCTTTGGGTAATATAAAAGTATACTAGCATAACAGCGGGTGTTTGATATAATCAATTTTCTGTAAATTACTCCTTATGGTGCATGTTCCATACAATAAAAAGGAAGCATTGAATACTTTAATATGAAAAGTTACAAATTACTTTAATCAGTAAGATATGAGAAACCCTGATGGCTCAATAGGTTTTCTGATATATAATAATATATGGCTCTTGGTGGAAGATTTTCCTTATAGTTAAAGCATTTATGTCTTCTTCCTTTCTTTGATATCTTATAAAATACAAACGCATGCTACAGCATTGTCCATCACAAGCATGCTAATAATGGCATCTCTTCTCCAGTAACCTATTTTCAATGAACTTTATCTGAACAAAACCGTTGAAATCATCAGTGAAATGAAAAATGACAAAGTTTGGGTGGACAGTAGCCACACCTGTAATGTGATTGCTTAAGTCTTATTTTCTGAGGTTACTCAGCTGAAAAGTCTGTTGCATTCTCACTCCTCCAGAAATGATGAATGTGTGTAGCTGTAGAGAATAAGAATCAATTTCTCACTACTGAATTATGAATGAAAGAATTTTAGGATCTTTTCCTGATGGTTATTTTAAAAACCGCTATTGATAAGGTAAAGCTTGAGAATTAACAATTTAGTTTGCTGGCAGCTTTCCATCCCCAGCCATTGTTAGGAATTCATTAAAAAGATCTTTGGTTCAGCTTTCTGTGCTGGCTGGAGAGGTTTTTTGGTGAAGCTTGGCTGGGGAGGTGGAGTGTTGGTATGAAATAATTTGATTAAGAAAATGTGTTAGTTCGGTTAAGCATTTTATGTTTAGGCTAAAGTTTTTCATCAAAACTGAAGAGGAACGTGTGTTCTTCATCCCCGAGTACCCGGCGTGTGTGTGGGCTCGGGGGCCGAGGTGAGTTAGGATGCGAGGACCTCAGATTTATTGTACTTCTGCAGCGTGGTAACAGTTTCCTTCGAAATGCGGGAAGGGACTGCCTCTGCCTGCCTTTGCTCTGGATGTTGTCCTGCTTCCCTGCTGCTGTCCTGAACAAGCTACCAACCCTTTTCCCCAGCACTTTTTTTTTTTTTGGTAGAAGGCTCAGCATGCACTGGGATGTTGCCTTGTCTCTGGTACAACAATAATCCAGCCATCGAGACGGGGAGAAGAGGAGGAGAAAAAAAAAAAGAAATTTTGCTTCTGCTGCTGTGACATTAGTTTCAGTATATTGATCCTGGTTTTCCCTCCTGCTAACTTTTCCTCGTTTTCCTACCCACTTAGTGTTTTGCTGTTTACCTTATAGCTTGTACCTAACAGAGGAGCCTGGGGTAGGTGCTTGCGTCTTGTGCTCATGTGGAATCTATTTAAGACCCTTTGCAGGGCCTCATTCCAAACTATGTGCCCTTCAACCTAAACTCTGTAGCAGGAGTCTTGATTTTTTGAGAGACCCGGTTAGAGTCTTGTAACACATGGGAAAGTTTGGCAACATTGCAAGTTGACTGAAAAAAGCTGGGGCTGTATTGCTGAATTAAGTACAGAAAGGATTTGTGTGTACTTTGTCTTTTCTTCGCACTGTACCTTATGCTGACAAAGAAACACAAGTTAGCGGAGTGGAAATATGTGATAAATGCTTTTTTGGTGACTACGACAAACAGCTTGAACTCTATTTCTGGAGAATACAGGTTTGCCCTCTCTGATGCATGAGGATTAATTTTTCTGAGCATATCACTTGCTGCGCCTGACTCAGCACAGCTGGGGTACATCTTGCCAGCAGACCCCATCCTCCAGAGCACCCGCAGATGGGGTGTGAAGCGTGGGCAGCAGTGTGGCCGGCACTGTGGTGTGCTGAGCCTGGCTCAGGGCTGCATCAGGCTCCCAGGTAAGTTCTGCTCACTTTGTGCCTTGCTTGAGCTTCATGTTGCAGGATATACTAGTAATAAGACTGCAGAATTCTGTTATTTTTCATTAAGGGATTTAAGAATATTTTTCTATGACCTAATCTACAGGCAAAATGCCTATTCTTCAAATTTTAGCTTATAGGCAGCAGAAGTTTTAAAACTGCTTGAGACTCCACATGGCTATTCAGGATTAGTTGGAGGAGTGCCTTTAGGGCAGCTGAGCAGATTCTGTCAATCTCCCTTTAGGCAGATTTGGAATACATTATAGAATAAATTTAATCCCTGCACAATTCTAATAAAATAGAGAATCATATATCCCATCTGGGAGGCTTAATTTCTGATTGTAACTATATAAATCAACAGAAAGCATCTCTCACAAGAATATTTTCAGACCCAGATGATGATTGAGTTACAAATGCATTTTTCATGTCCTTATTGTCAAATGGAGGTCAGGATAAAATACAATCAGAAGATTGATATTAAGTTCTTGGATGTAGATCCTCATCCATTAAATTAGTGTTTCTCCCTGGGTTTTAGTTTCACTACATTCAAAAGTCTGATTTAACTGAGTTCAACACAACAGTCTCACAACAGCAGAGAATTTGAATCTATTTCTAAAATGTATATGCACTGGGCAGAGTCTTTGAAGACTGTACCATACCTGTCTCCAACAAAGAACTTCTGGTTGCCTGGATAATAGCACAGATAATGTTACTCTTCCAATAAACTCCTTGAAGTCTAAGGAAAGAGCTAATCTGCACTTTCTTTGGAGCAGAAACTCTTGAAAACAGTTGAGATTGAAAGCAAACAAGTATTAGGAGAAGTCCATGTATAGTTCAGAAAAGGTCACTACTATTTAATCATTCTTAATTATTGAGAAGCAAGGAAATTCCATCTCCCATTTCCCTCCATCAGATTTCTTTACTGAACAGCAAAGAACTAAAATGGTCTGAACAAGCTAATAAAGACATCAGGAAGTTGAGCTCATTGCCAGTATTAGAACAAATGCTGTACCTACAAAAGAGGTGAGTTCATAGGAAGCTGATGGCAAGCTCTGTTTCCCTAAATGTTCAAAGCTTTGTCTTTTTCTAAAAGCACAAAAGGAGTGATGTCTCAGTGGTTCAATCAAAACCTCCATCGTTTACCCCTAAAATACTTTCAGCAAATGAGAAATGTTGAGAGTCAAGACTGCTAGCTTCTTTCTGCTGTGTGTTTGCCTATGGCCAAAGGAACATACTTTAAAGGACATAGGTCTAACCAGTGGATCTTTTAATTGCATACTTAGCTTGATACTTGGGTGAAGGATGATTTTCATATCATATTGTTCAAAGACCTGTTGAGATGTGGAGCAAATGCTGTAATCATGCAATAATACTTGCAATAAGTATCAGTTTGGAAGTGTAACAAGATTTTACCTTATATTCTTTCCAGCAACTTGGGGATATTTTTGTTCTCCAAAAGCTGTTGGCTCAATTTTGCATCTAGTCAAGTCAGGTGGATTTTGCCTTGTCAAATAGGTATGGGAGCATAAAGGACAACAACCTTAAAAGTAGATGGAGATAAGCCACAGACACCACATTCAGACTGGAAGCATACTGTAGGTCTCCTTAAGGTTTTGACTTAGCCTGTTGCATACCCAAGGGATCAGTAAGAAAAATGTGTGTTTGCACATATCAATTGCCCACCAAGCATCCACAGGTCGGACCTGGTGTTTAGGTACACATACATCTTTGGTAGCAGTCACATTAAAAAATCAATGGTAGGTTGTATTTCCTTACCTATAAAGGCAAAAGGATGATACAAAGGATGATAAAATTTAAAATTAGTAAGAGAGAGCAGTTTTTCAAGTGTGTGCACTGTGGAGTGTAAAATGTTCCTACCGTCTTTCTCTGAATTCCAGTGACAGAGTTTCACATTTCTGCTTATTTTTCCTATCATTTGAGTCTCTTGTAGATCTCCAGTGATTACCCGGTCCAGCTGATTCTGATCTGAGATTGTAATGCATTATACCACTTCTGTATAACAGGAAAAGGAACTTCCTCTTTAAAGCTACGTATTACTAAGCAAGGAGGATTTCTGATGGGTGGAGTTTTCCCTTGAGCTGGCTCCATAAAGGCTTGCAGGATTTACAGACCGCTCAGACTGCAAGCAGCATGAACTGCAGCCTGACAGAGAGAGTGCTGCTGAGCTACCCGATGGATAGACAGCGGGACAGGTTGTGCCTTCAGTCTCTTTGGGACTTTGTCACAGCAGAAGAGCCATTGATCAAGTCACCGTTTTTTCCAGTGCTGTTTTCTTTCACAGCATACATGGCTTTCTGTCTTCCATATATTGCACTGGACTTTTTAAGCATTAGACTACCAAACTTGAGAAAATACAAAATCCAGCCACAGAACTATCCGACTCTCGCAATGATGGTGCCTTGCATTATTCAAAGTGCTTATCACCACGTTGTTTTGATTTTCCCAGTGACATTTCTGCACTGGTACTGGAGACCAATGAATCTCCCAGTGATAGCTCCAGAGCTGCCTGAGGTCCTGCTGGAAGTAGGAGTTTGCCTGCTTCTGTTTGATTTTGAGTACTTCCTGTGGCATTTGCTTCATCACAAGGTGCCTTGGCTCTACAAGACCTTCCACAAGGTCCATCACAAACATGTGTCAACATTTGCTCTTACCACACAGTATTCCAGTGTATGGGAACTGCTCTCGCTGGGATTTTTTGCTGCTATCAACCCAGTGCTCCTCGGATGCCATCCTTTGACAGAAATGATTTTCTTCCTTGTAAACATTTGGTTGTCAGTGGAGGACCATTCCGGATATGACCTTCCATGGTCAACTCACCGACTTGTGCCTTTTGGTTTGTATGGAGGAGCCCCACATCATGATCTCCATCATCTGAAATTCAAATCAAACTATGCTCCTTACTTCACCCACTGGGACAAACTCTTTGGGACATTCACAGAGTCACATTCTAATTAAGGATATTACCTGTGGATGAACTCATTTTTTTATAGACTAAACCTAGACATTAATTTTTCAGAGACATACAGAAGATTGTATATTTGAAGCTGCCTATAAAAGCAATAGCTATTTATCACAAGTCCTCTTAATATATGTGTATTTGTATGTATACTTGGAACTGCCTATATTAAATGACTGCAAATGGGAGGGTAAATATCTGTTGCTTAAATTTGTTTGAGTCAAAGGTATAAAGGGAAGCATTAAGAGACATTCTCTCTTCTTTCCTTCTTTCCAGCTTTCATAAAGCATGTATTGTATTACTGTATGATGTTTTATACATACGCCAGAACAATTATCTTACTGTTGTAGGATGATTTATGATGTAAACAGAAAAGGTACACATCATGGATTTTGTGGAGTTTAATCTGCCAGAGCATATTATTGAACAATGATGTTGTAAAATTGTTTGATCAACAAAACTAGTTGGCTAACTGTGCAATAATTTTGATATTTATGTTTTAAACCTTGATGTACTGCCTCTTTTTAATAGAAAATAAATATGGTAATTCTTTTATAATTATATTCTGTTTCATTTTATTCATTCCTCAGTTCATATTAGGAACAGGTATGATTCCTTTTGCATAGGTGTCATTTATTTGATTTTCTGAGTTTCAGACATTTCTTATTAAAATATTGTCACATTATTTCAAAAGTGAACCATTTACTTTTTCTCCAGAATCATGTTATTTTAAAATAGTTTTCAATTCTGTAGAAACAGAATATTGAAGAATGTGGTTTAAAAAGCCATGGTGAAATGTTATCATTACATTTGTGAGAGGCCTGAATAATTTTCATTAAATTTAGGGTGTGAGAACAGAACGTTAATCAGCCCCTTAATAAAAGGGAGCATTAGTCCTTCACAGCCACATCAATTAATTATTACTTACATGCAAAAACCTGCCAAGGAATATAAACAGGGTTTCTACAAAACAGATGATTCTTCAAGCAGATTTCAGAGGAATAGAATCAAACCTTTCAGGATCCTAAATCATAGAACAAAACAGCTATATGTTGCTAGAACAGTTATGCGTAAAACATTGTCATGTAGTCTCACAGAAGTGACACTGAAAAAAAAAAAGCATGAAGAGATAAGCAGGTCTTCCATGCCTCATTCACCAGAGATCCGTATAGACTTCTTATGTTTGCTAGATAACATTCTAAAGTTTATAATCTTCTGTATTACTAATAAACTTCTCAGGAAAGTGATGGGAACAGATAAAGTGCAAATAATCTAGAGAGTGTGTAATGAACATTTAACACATCATCATCCAAAAATGTCTTTGTCATTATGTCTAGGGGGTTGTGTGATCTTACAGAGGCTGTTTGTCCAGGAGAAGAGAGAACCCTTAGTATTTCCAACAATGTGAACTTATAAAGAGAACAGCACTTTTGGACACTGTGTCTTTTTGATAACAGGAAATAATTTTCATAAACATCTTCATAAAAAGTACAAAATGCTGCAGTCTTAATACTTAACTACTCCCTCTGCTCTCTGGGTATCACAGAAGAGCAACCCTTCTTTTTCGTGGTAAGAACATGACACATCCTGAGAGCAAAAACTGAGGCTTAAAAGAATAAAAAACTGGAATTTTTGCCATGCATCTATTCATCTGAAAGAAAGAAATCCCAATCTTTCTGATGATTATAATCTTAAGTATTTCGGGGTGTGCTACAATGAGAAGGAAGTATTCCATTTTCCTGCCAAATGCAGGAGGCAAAATACAGTCTTTGATTTCTTTGAGCCGTTTAGCCATTTTGAGGTATCCCAAAGTTACTCTCTCAGTTCTAAAAATCCCACTTAATTCAGCTTGGCAAATACTGAGCATCTGAAGGGGGTGCTCTGTGGTTTCAATGATTTATACCTTATACTATAACTCTATATTGTAACTATACACTATAACAGCCTGTTTCACGTACTATTGGCTTTCTAAGTAAGCAAGGTTAAGGTTAACTGGTACTTGGATATGTTGCTATAGAAAGCCTGTGAGCAGATCCCACAAGAAAGGTTGCAGCTGAACCCACAGGGATTATTCCACTTTTTTCAGTGAAGTTTGATACAACAAATACTTTACTACTGGAGAAGGACAGCTAGCTGCAGGCAAAACTATGCTTGCTCTTGTTAAGTAAGATAGTCTCGTTTGGCATTGACAGGGCAGTGTAACAGCGGTGAGGATGATGAAAGTGACAACGGAAGGAGGCAGTGTACTGCATGATGATCCTGCCTACTCCTCCCTCCCTCACATCCTCAATGTTTGAATGACTTCAGACACACATCGAGAATGTATTTCCTCAAATATGGAATTTCCCCCAGGCTATATCTGTACTGAACCTCATCAGACCTGGCATCTTGGTTTAAAGGCTCATTATTGCATGAACTTGGAATACTAAACCAAAATAAAATTGGCAAATGACAATTTGACTAGTACATGTCTGGAATGGTTTATTTAAATTCCGTGCTAGAAATATCTGTACTTTGTCAACATGATGTAATCCTAGCATACCTTGTCCCTGTTTCTCCAATCCTTTGAAGGTAATTTAGGCTCTAAACCATGAGGGATTGAAAACATTTGCATATTGTGTGGACTTTGAAGCACTTTCTGTAACAGTGTACTATAACTTTAGTTATATGTGTGAGAAAGACTCATGAGCAGAAGACCCAGACAAATATGTAACTTCAGGCCTCTGCAATTCAGTGAAAAGCAAAATATAGACAAAACCATACTGAAAGTAAAGCAAATAAGAGTTGGTTTTTTTCCTGTTTTCATTGAAAGTTCAGCAAATGCTGTACCACTGAGTGTGAGAGCATAGGGAGTTCTGTGTATTGATGGTGCTGAGATTTTAAAGCAAGATTTTACAGATGTTACTTCCTATATTTGCATTTCCCCATGGTCTTAACCACAAGTTTTTACCAGACAAATGAAATGGCACGATACTCTATTGTAAGGGTTTATGTCAGAAAACAAAAACCAACTTTCTCTCTTCTGTTCCAAAATTCTCCTAGCTTCCTTCCTCATTATAATGTAACATGATGTGCCACACAGAGTTCCTATCTCATCTGCCAAAAGCTATTCTGTTGTCATTTGTGAGTAAATGGAGACTGTTTGCACTGACCTTTGAAGCTATGAGATTTTTGATGCTTCCATTGTCCACTTTAAAAATACTAATTTAATAAAAGTCAAAGAAGTAAGATTTTATGCTTTTCTCTTTGTAACTGTATCTTAGTTCTTAGGCACATGGTTAAATATTGAACACTTAGTTTGATCTTACAAATTGCAGGACTTGCCAAATTCTTACTGACAATTTAGCACTACACTTCTCTTGAAATTTAGACTGAGTCTTTCAAATGATACGCAGTTTGGCAATTTTGATGTAATTGTATGCAACACTGCAAAAGGACAGGTTTTTGCTTAGTGCGTGTATTCTCGGCACTGATGGGAAGTGTGTTCCTCAGGTGCTTTGGAGAGAGCGTATGAAGTTTAGAGCCATGCTGAGTCAGTATTCACTTCTGGAAAAGGCTTTGTCCTTATTCATCTTGATCAAATGTAAGTACTTTACAGGGGAAAAACAACGCAGTCTACAGCTGCTATTTTTTTATGATTGGAAAAATAATCTATGTCACTAATTGATTTAGTGACTCAGTTAATCTAGTGTGTTATCTGGATTAAATGAAAAACTAGTATCTCTTTGGACTACCAGATTGTGCTATCTCTAAATTAGGTTTGTAATGACAGAACACTTAATTGTGACCCACTGCCCCTCAGTGTTATTGGAAAGAGTGTAGAACTCTTTGATGTGGCTTTATTTTAGTGGACTGGGAAGTCACTTATGCAGTTTTCCTTATTATTGCTTTCATGCACAAGTATTAAGCTTCTGCTACATCCTACTGCATACTACTGTCTACATCCAGTTACCGTTCTGTATTTGAAAAAAATCAGTCATCTTGGATTCTTTCAAAATACAGCCCCCCCCTGGATTTATTCTTCAATTACCTTTGTTGAGAGACTAATCAGTTCAAGCCTACTATCACATTTACACGTAAACTGCATCTAAGACCCTGGCTTTGCATGCTGAGCTTGGCTGATGTACCAGTTTGCTCAAATCTTTAGGCTGGTCTTGCGTTGCTCATGTACAATCCAACCTGAAAGGTCTTTGTAGCACAGTCTGGAGTTGTTTGCAGTATGTTTTTCTCGTAAAAATAACTGCCAAACAGTTGTTTTCCAAAACTTAGATGTGTTTCTAATTTATGGAAATTTGAAGTTGCTTAGGACACAGAAAAAAACTCCACACTCCCAAAACTAACCAACACAAGCATTCCAGACTTCAAAGGGAGCAGAACTAAAGGGCCTTTAGCTGTGGAAAATGATGCTGGTTTTTTAATCTTTCTTTTCAGATTTTCTTCTTTTTAAAAAGAAGATTTGAAAATCTTTCTAGTCACCAGGTCCCCCAAACTGCAATGATTGCCATGATCAAGGCTGTAGGTGTAGACAGGGAGAGGAGTGAAAGGAGAAAGGGAAAGGCAACCACTGTGTCTTCAGGACTTCCATCACTGTCCAGCGGTGCAGCGCACATTACCCATCAGGTACAGATGGAATTCTTTCCACTGCAAGCATAGATGTTTTCAGCCCTCAGGTTCTTACCACTGGAGCGGTACAGATTCCACATCTGCTCACAGCTTTTCCTTTGTGTTATCTAGCTCTTTCTGGAAATTCCCGCAGCAGCAAAACACAGCGACCTGCGACCTGCGAGAGGGAACTGTGCCTTTAGTCAGCATAAATGTAAACATACTTTTGTGTCAACAGGTATAAGACTGAGTTAAAAAAAATCTGCAGGTACATGGACTGAAGTACCTCTTCCATGCTCAGTTTTGAGATAACAGGTTTTATGTGTGGGAAACCAAAAAGCTAACAAAGCTGGATGGTTAGTAGGCCAGTCAGGCAGAAACATGACTACTTTGGTTTCAGTCTATTGAGAGAAACTTCATACTAGAGATAAGTGATTTGGAGGACTGTGGAAGGATGTGTTACCTATTCGTCCAGGGAGAGTTTAGATGGCCGGTACTTTTATTTGTCCTCAGAACTAAGCAGCAAATAATTCAGGCGATTAAATGGCCTTAAGTCTAGGGTGAGCTCTAGAAAATCTGTTCTTAAGATGAGCAAGATGTACCTTCTTTATCAAAAGGACTTGAAAAAGCACTGCTAGAAACTGTATTGATGTAAGGCTGTTTACACACCTCTTCAGACATTCATGGAAGCTGTGGAAGATAACACCCCTAAGAAACAACACAGTTGGGTAATTACAAAGCCCCTTTAAGTGATTTGTTTACAAAACTTTCGGAGCTAGTCTAAATAGCTGACACAATGGAATTTGACAAGCTATCCAGAAAAAAATTAACATGGGAAATACACGTGTGCTAAGGGTGGAATGATTTAATACCATGTAAGCATGCTCCCCCAATGCTTGCAAGCTCAGACCCAGCCTAGTCAACTGAGCTTACAGAAAGAACTAATGCCTA